TTATAGGGCCGTATGTCTCAGAGTAATCAGTGCAATTTGGGAAAGAAATCAATTAAATCTGAATGTGGATGTGTGTAAATATTGAAAAATTTAATCCCCTTTGTAATCGTTAACATTTTCATAAGTAACTGATTACAGTTACATTTATTTCAATTACGTAACGCCGTTACATGTAACTAGTTACTCCCCAACACTGGTATATAGCAAAGTACCATGGTATTGCCATGTGATAGCATTACTTTAATGGTAGTACCAGTTTGTATGTGTATGTGTGAATAGTTTAATCTGACATCCTCAGAAATAAAAAGAATTAACAATTAGTGTATGTATATCAATTTCAAACATTTTTAGTTCCTCAAAAGAAATAGCATTTTTATCAGGCTCCTATGTTTAGGTTCAGTAATGTTACTTTAATGGCAATGTATAGGTCCTTTTTATGCCATTAAAGTGAAATAAATGAACATAAATATAGGAGCTTGGTAAAGATGCTAATTTTAGATGAAAATTTCAGACGGCACTTAGAGGCTTTTGCATCTGAACTCTTCGTATATAAATGTTAGATTTTATACACACACACACATGCATATATTTCATATACACACATATACATATATTTACTTGCATGAAATAATAATTTTTAGTTCCTCAGAAGAAATATAGAAATGTGTCTGTGTATATATATATATAAATATTATTTTGAGATCAATTTTGGGTTAGTCATAATTAGTTTTATATAAATGCAGTAGAAATCATTGGCATGTCCTGATTTATATTGGTGGGTGTGGATGTGTGAGTCTATCCATGTGTGCACACTTCTACATGCTTGTCAGCCGATTGTGCGTATGCTTTCAAGCCTGAATGGATGAATGATCAATTTTATGATCTAATAAACCACGCTGTCTCATTTACAGTCATTAGCTGAAATAAAGTTGTATGAAGTCTTTGGCACTTTGTTAAACAAACCAACCTTTTGTCAAGTTCTGAACCCTTTCTCTTACCTCGTCTTTCTCCCATGTAAAGTGGCAGTACAGGCATGTAACATCACTGTGGGTATCACACTTTCTCCTCACACCAGAAATGCGTCTCGTTTCAGGAATGATGATAAATCATGGGATTTATTTATTAATAAAAAGTTTATATTAATTTCCAACTTATTTAATTTATATTTATTTATTGATATTATTATTTATATTATTAATTTATATGATCATAAAGGTTTGACTAAAATGGCAAAATGTGAAAGTTTTTGTCAATTATTAGCATGAAAATCATGCTAATAACTAATACATTGTTACTTTAGTAGGTTCATTTCCATGTAAAGATTTACACAAAGTGGCAAGTTTGAAGTTCATTTGTAAATTGTAAAAAAACAAAGAACGCACCTTGTGGAAGATATGTTTCAGAAGAGCGATGAAAAGCAGTGAGCGCAGTCAGGAAGCAGACAGCCACAAAGTCACTAATTGACAACTTTGCTTGCATGTCATCACCGATATTACAGTTAATCGAATCGCCATTAACAGACACCATCTGGTCTTTATTATGGTATCAGGCTGCTATCGCTGTCCTAGCTTGCTGTATGTCACCTCCTCTCGTCTTTACCTGGAAGGAACCAGTCCACAGAGACGTCAGCGCTGAGACACTCTGATGACAAGGCCTCATTTTGGAGTAGCACATGCGTGATGTGTTCGCCAACTGCTTTTGGTTTCTCTTGTCCTCCTCCTTTCTCTTTCTGTCTCTGTTAAGCTCATAACAGAGAACAGAGCTACAACATGTCTGTGAAACACCCACCATTCCTGTCCATCTCTTTAGCTGTCCAAACACACACTCCCACCAGTACAGGTATATAGACTATTCCTTCTTTTTGTTCTCTTTCACACATTTTCTTTTTTTTTTCACTTGAAGGGGAGCCAGATGTGCAGTTTCATACATTTCATTTATTGTTTAATTATCTTTTTTTTTTTTTTACAGATTTACTATTACTATTACTGATGCAAAGGCCATTTGCTAACCTAAATTTACAGCCTCAGGCAACAGAAATCCATAGCTTAGCTATATGAAGCTGCATTGCATTTTCTTGTCTAAATAAAACGTTATGTGGTCAGCATGTAACAGTGGCAAGTTTTACTATTTTTATCATTAAACATCTCTTTATTTACAATACTGATCACTAATCAATGTGTTTGTCCTTTTTTGGTTCCTTTTTTTATTTTGTTTTATTTTATTTTATTGTATTTTTTTTATTTTAATTGTGGTATTTTCATATTTTTATATTTCCATATTTTAATGATTATATTTTAATTTGCATTTTTTTTTAATATTGTTTACATTTTATATTTTATTTCATTTTTATGTTCATATTTCCATATTTTTTATTTTATTATATTAAATGTTCAAATTTGTAAAATTTGTTGTTGTTGTTGTTTTTTGTTTATTTATTTATTTTTTGTTCTTATCTTGCTGCTCCAGAAGAAATGCATATTCCTACTCTTATTACCTGTAAGTAGCATTAAATACAGAACATAACCAACAATCCTTTTTTTTTTTCTTTTTTTTTATAAAGTTTATCGTTTCCTAATACCATTTTCTACTAAGTACTTTTAACAATTCCTGAGAAATATTATAAAACCTCCTTAGTTCATTAGAAGAAAAAAGTGAGAGAATGAATTAAATGAAAATCAAGTTAATGTTAAGTGACAATTAATCTTAGTACCAAATCTAACTTTGCCATGGCGAACAAAGCTTTTTGAAATGAAGACGAGTTCAATTTGAAATAAACTCTTGAGTCAGTATTATACTTCATCACACTTTGCTCCAATGTTTTAACATCGCAGTACTTCCATTTTCTAGCAAAACAGTCGATACTGACCCATAAACCATCTTGTGCGCTATACACCTACAAGTTTTTCCGATTGCTTTGAAACATTAGCAGGCCCAGTTATAAATTGCCCTCATGTGCACATAAATTGATGTTGCTCCACTGTTATCTTATTATTATCGACTATTGCTAGTTCAGCTCAAAATCCCTTTGGTCTGCGGACTCCCCCTCGACTTTTTATTACTTTTCCGTTACGCTTAAACTATTCACTATTACCTCTACGGTTATGTCTGCCTCAGCATTTTACTGCACAGGATTCTTTCATTTGCACTGTGTGCAACAGAGCCTAGCTGCAGGATGTTTACCTCACGCGTTAAAAGATTTAAAAGCTCAGGTTCACAGTCAGACTACTATGTGCATTCTCCCCGCTCTCTCCCCGCTCCTGAAATATAGATGAAAGTAGAAACACAACCAGGAGGAGCTCCTTCAAAAGGATATCATCTGAGAGGGCATAGACAGACAGCTACAGGCTAAAGCTAACCATGACGAGAGAGCGAGTCGTTCTCATATTCAGCAGGGTTATGTTATGGACATAACTGAGTGTGGTTTTCAGCATGCATGTTCAGATGTAGTAAAGTGATCAGTGTGCATCTTCACGTTTGTCCTTGCACTTACAAACTGAAAAAGCAAGATAGGAAAGAGATTTTGACTTCCAATAAATCATATAATGATAAAATAATGATTAAAAACTTCCAGTGTGTACTTCTGTGCAAATTAACATTCGCCAAGTGCCAAATGTGAGTAAAAATCAGCGTTGGCAAGTGTATGAAACAGTGTTACTCGCCAGTTGGCCAGTAAGTTTTTTTTTTATTAATTCTAACCACGCCTGAGAACATGATATGGTTTAGTGTGATTATCAAATCGCAAAGACTGTACTGTAATTATATAAATTTATAATCTAATGTGCCGCGTTGTGAACTTTTCACAGTGTTTTCAGGGTCGCAGAGCGGCTCGGTTCGCAGTACATGCTGCTCCACACAAACACAATCTCTGTAAGTGCTGTGAGTTTCAGTCGCTTATAACGTGCATTTTTGAAAATGCAACAGGACCCAAACATCTTCCCAAATTCATAATGAGTATCATTTATATATCTGTTGTCGTTTAAAGGGATGCATTTCAAAAAAGAAATTTCCCTGCAGTTTTCTGCCAGATTAAAAGCTCTGTGGTTTAACTGTTGAAAGCAAAGAAAAAAACATAAATACATAAATATTAAAAATAATAATAATAATAATAATAATAATAATAATAATGAATGCACACAGAGTTTCATGGCTGGACAAAAAAATATTTATGGTCACTACATTTTCTCAAGTCATCAGCCCTTGGCAGGTGTGGCAAAATGTTAGTTTTAAGCCCTGCTTGTACTTTTGCATACAAAAGTGCATGTGTTTGTGTAGGTAGTAAGACATTATGCTTGCATTAGCACATAATGTTTTAAAATCAATACCACAGTCCGCTTTAGCATATCATTTTCAGTGTGCTATGATTTTAGAATGGTATAGTAGTATAGCAATCATAATATATGGTAATGTTCATGTTTATCCCTGATTCATCACCATGTCTACTCCAGAAATTTGTGTGTGCATGCATTTACACATTTGGCAGATGCTTTTATCCAAAGTGACTTTAGTGCATTCAAACACGTCAATATAATTTTAACACCGTATTTCCTGGGAATCAAACCCATGACCTTGTCCTTGCTAACGCCACGCCCTACAAGTTAACCTTGTGCATGCAAGCAACTGAACAACAGTGGTTAATATAAAGGTTATTTTGAGATCTTCTGCATGCTTACTAATACTTCTTTGACTTGCACTTCCTGGCCAGCTGCCTTGTCTTTGCATGTTCTGATGTCACAAGTGCATATGTCTTTTTACTATTTCCTCCTTTCAAGTTTTAGCTCAACCAAGTGTGATATGCTTATTAATGAACATTTGGTGAATTTTATGCATGAATGAAGAGCAAAATCAAGCCAGATTTTACAGCTATCTCCTCACTGTTCCCCCCTCTCTCTTTCTCTTTTACAAAAAGCCATTAACAAAAGTTGGTGCTATAAATACTGTTTATGGTGATCTGACTATATTATAGCCTTCACTTTTAATGAAGTGCTGCGCTGGCATTTATAAAATAAGGATTATGTATAGTTTATGCTACTTACAATATGGCCAGAATTTGGCACTTGAAACGAGACCCATTACTGCAGCAATCAATGGCTTTTATTATTTGATGGCTGTTGTATTATAAAATTCTGTGACCTTCAGCATACACTGTGGGATGAGCTGATGGATTGTTGAATATGCTGTCTAGGTAGGGAGCGCACTAGGTTTTGGTGTAGAGTTTGTGCATTGCAGTGTCTACAATGAAATCTCAGCACTTTATAGCCATCACATTGATACTTGGCTGCTTAATTGGATATTCGTGACCCCTCTCTTATTGCTTCTTGGTGTTAAGACCTGCTTCTGAACACTTTTCATCCTCTTTTGATCCTCAGTCACCAAAAACCAATGTTACTGAATTTATTTTCCAACCTAGCTAAAATGGCCCCAATTGTAAAGGTTGGCCTGGTTTTTGAGGAAGCTGAATCTTTATTAGATTTTTTTAAAATTCCCAGCAGAGAAAATAACAAAACAAAGAGTTATTATCAGCTCGGCCCCGTAAGAGAAGCGAGCACATATTGAGGTCAAATGGTGTTCTGTGGGACCTGGAGAATCAGAGTCATTTTATTGGATGACTCCAATCCTTTGCTGACAGTAATATCTTCCTTGAAGTTCTGTGCACTAAAGTGTGGGGAGGCCTCAGCTTATGAACGGCCAGACAAATCAACAAATCAAGACCAGCAGAAGCGAAGTCTGCTGCCTTTATAAAGACTGCCGGAGATTTATTCTTTATTTTTTTTGAGAGGTGGGATGAGATCAGGAAATGTTGTAAACCACATTTGAACAACACAGCTCAATGTGTCAAAGTAAGAACTGCTAGGTCACTTATTCAACATGTCACAGCTTTAATCAGGATAAAATACTTTCATAGTGCAATACAATCTGTAGTTAATGAAACATTTCAGCTGTCATCCATATGTGCATTGCCCATTGCAACAGTTCTGTACTGGCCCTTTAAGAGAAAGCATTACGATATATGAATATATCATTCATGTATTTATTTGCATTATCTACAAGTGAATGTATTTTTCCTGATCAATAGACTTGTAGTGTTCAATTGGCTTTGTTCTGCATGGCAAGGTTTTGAGTTTCTCTCTCTTGATTTGAGAAGGTTTGTTCTCTCTCTTTCTCACTTGCTGGCATATATCACTGCAGAATATATATTTTAGATTATATTACAGAAATCTTACAGTCAATGCCATTGGAATAGACAAATGCCTCACTTCTTGTCCTCAATGTGCCCAGTGTCTGTCCGTGTGTGTTTGTCTTGTATATATTTTATATGTCAGTTTACAGCAGTGTTGTGGCAGTGCTTTGGTTTAGTGCTGTATATTGTCACTATTATACTCTTATACTGTTATTTTTATGCTATACATAAATGTCTAAACTAAAACCGGCAAGTCTAGCAGTAACGAAGCTTATAACTGATTTTAATAACTTTCGTTTGTCCAGAACAAAAAAGTGATTACTTTCACACATATAAACGTGTTTAGACAACAGTTAAACAGGTTGCACTAATCAAAAGCATTGCACCGACACTGAAGTGTCTTTTTTTGATCATCTGTATAAACCTGTCCTGTTGTGGATGGATTTGAAGGAAACTAGCTAAAAAACAGAAGGAGACAGCCAGCAGCAGCACCCAGAGAGAGATGGGGCCCGTAGGCACAGCGGATAAAAGCACAGGAAAAGTCAGCACGTTACACAAGGATGATCCGTTCTCCACCAGCAACCAGGACCTCAACGGATTCTGTGAGTTCAGCAAATATTGTGCTGTGACATTATTGTGCTGCCCTGTTTTTCTGTATAATCTCTGTTTATTTCGAATGTATCTGTGCTCTGATAACAGTATGGGTTAGAGAAGGGTGTTGGCATTAACCAATGAACAAATTAAAAAAGACATGAACGAGTGAAAGAATGAATCAAGACACAAATGAAAGAATGAATCAATGCATGAATTTACAAACGAGCAAATTAAAGAAAAAAGGAATTCACACATAAACAAATATAACACATTAAGAATGCATGAATGTGTGAATGAACTGAAGTAATGAAGAAATGAATGAATGAAGTAATGAATGAACAAAAGTTCAAATGAATTAATAAATGAACACTTTTTTTAAAGAATAAGCAAATGCATGAATACATGAGTGAAATATCGAACATGTAAATAAATGATTAAATGAAAAATTGAATGAATGAACAAATGGATAGATTAACAAATTAATGATTGATTTAACAGATACTTAAGTGTAATTTTCAACATACTTATTCAAGGTTGGGAATCAATTAGCAATGCACTGAAACTATTGAGCTGGAATACAAAACAGCGATGTTTGGCATACGTGCACAAACTTCACTGAACATTATTTGTATCATGCCTCCCGTCCAATAATCTCAGTAAGGTTTGTTTATTTCTGAAGGTCTCAGCTTTCAAATTCTGTCAATTTAATCATGAAATTCAAATAATAAAGGTGTGTTGATACTCTTTAATGTGGCGTGACAGATCGCTGTATGCGCATTAGTTCAAGTGGCACATGAACCGATCATCTACTACTAATCATAGCTCAAAATAAACATGAATGGGCATCAGAAGATTTGTTGAAAGATACGGTAATAGTTTCGTGTTCAATCAGACATTTTTCACAGGTTCTCTTTAGAGAACTTCTTGCTCTTTTCCACCAGTCTCAAAAGTCAAAGTCCACAGGTCATATAATCGCCACATTCCCCAAATACCAAGGTCTTCTGGAGTGGCCGCAGTGTGTGCGAGCCAATCTCAGGACTCATTATTGCAATCACACAAACCTCCTGCACGTCCCACCATCACGCTGATGAGCTCAGCAAGCCCTAAAAGGGGTCAAAAGTGGTCAACAATCTGTCATTTTAACTCAACTGACCATTCTCCTTGATTGTCTTTACTAAGCGTCCATCAGGAAACCAAATGACGGGATGCCAACGTCTCACACCTGATCTGAACGTCGCCCGCCGCAGAGAGCTATTTTGTAACTAAACAGCATGGACCGAAGCGTTCTACATATCAAGAGACTTTGCTATTGACGTGCTGCTTTAAGAGGTGCTGGAGAAGAATAGCAAGTGGCATTTGGACTAGGCGGTTTTTTCTTTCTCTTGCTTTCATTCTCAGTTTTAAGTGGGCTCTGGCATGCTGTGAAAGGGCTGTAATTAGGACGGGTCTTTCTGAGTTGCTTTCTGCACAAAATGTCACTGTGGCCTTTGTGTACAGAATAATTTGAATGGAGCTGGAAGAGGAGGGGGCAATGGAGTGTAAGAGCAAGATGCATAGAGAGAGAGAGAATGTCATTATGCATAATGATCACATTTATTTCCTTTAAAATCAACACTGATTGGCAATGTGTTCTGCATGTTTGGTGTTTCTCAGTTCTTTTGAATGTCATTGGTCAGTGGAAGTGCAAATGCAGTTCATTTGTATGTTTATTTTGGATCATTACAGACACAGAGTAATTGGAGGCTGTTGTTGTATCTGTTGTTTATCTAATGATCTGAGATTCACTATTACTGAACTAGTACAGCCTCTTTATTATAGACATGAATCTCAGCTGGGGTATTGGAACAGAAAATCTTTGAATTGTAGTATGTGTTGAACTTTGTGAATGACAGGCCTTCCAATTTCTAAAGCCTTTTCTGTGGGCACCAAATTCTTGCGGGCCTTTATATCTCATATATTGTAATTGTCATTTTTCTCATTTTATATCCAGACCTTCCTCTCACTGGCTCCACAGTTACAATCACACATTATTATTATTATTTATTTATTTATTTTCTATCTGAGCTTTTTGAAGACGATGCAGCAGAAGATGGGTGAAATAGTGATCATAGCGATCCCAGCATTCACACTCAGCGTTTTAGCTGTATTACCATTTAAATGAACACAGAGACACCTGCCTCTAACCTTCCACGCTTCCACGCTCTCGATCTCACCCCGCTGGCCCATGAGCTTTTGCTGCCAAAGCACTTTCTGTAGAGATCCTTATGTGAGTAAATGCATATGCGCCGACACATGTGAGACACAGGGATTTGTGTAAAGGGAGATCTGGAGTGATAGGTGATTAAAATGGAAAGTAAAAAGGATATGGGCTTCAGCTGAGAAGAGTAAAAGAAGGTTACTGGAGTGAGTGAAGCTCTAGGAGTGGGTTTTGGTGACTCTCATTTTTTGTCGTAGGAGTCTACACTGTAAAAAAAAATGTTTTTTGAAGGTGTAAATTAAACAAAGATTACTGGAATATGTTTTACTATTTAAGTTTTTTTTTTTTTTTTTCATTTTTAAATCAATGTGTTACTTGCTTTTTTTCACTCTACATTTTTTATTCCAGACATTTAGAAATTCACTGTATATACTGAGCTAAGATATGCATGTGGATATGTTCAAAATAGTCCATGACATTTAAAGGTCTTGTTGACTACAGCAAGATGCAGTTGATTAGTGCGATATCTGTCTCCTTTACGGAAAGTGACCTAAAAACCTTTTATTCTGTTGCCACTGTGATTCTGTCACAATATGACACAGCTATTAATCTGGAAATGATTTGGTGTTTTATAGACATGTGTGGTGTGTGTATGTACTGTAAGTGCTCTCCTCTCTGTCTTTTCCAGCCTCCTCTTCTCCATGCTCCTTCTCCATCCAGGGTAAAGCCCTCCAGAGTAAAACCCTCCTCAACTCCTACTACTCAGGTGTGTGGCTTCCTATGTTGAATTGGTCCATGTGGTATAGTAGTAAAATTCCTGGACTGGTAACCAAAAGATTTGAACCGTACAATGTATCAGCAGGCCAATCACAGAACTTGAACCTCACAAAGTTCTATACATTCCTTACCACTTGCATGTTAATTTATTAAATGTTTAGGCTAATTTGATGATGCTTTGAGTTTCCAGTAAGAATGCAGAACTCTCATTTCTTAAAAATAAATAAATAAATAAAATAGCAGTGCTCTCAGCTATTGATAATCTCAGCTCTCAGCTTTTAATACATTTTTAAAGCAAGGCACTTTAAAACCAGGTTTCTATGGGATTACTAGTATATTAGATGTTGCTTTAGATAAAGGTATCTGCTAAATGACTGCATTAAAGAATGAAAGGAATAGTTCACCAAAAAAACAAAAAAAGGAAAATTATGATATCAAGCTTCAAAAAGTACACAAAAACAGGATAAAAAAATAGAATAAACAAAACTCAAAAACCGAATCAGTCTGCAAACGAATCATTCAGACTGGTTTTGTGAAATGGATCAACCGATTCACTGAAAAGATCTGACTCAAAAGAATGATTGATTCATGATCTGGACATTGTATCGACTCATAAAGATTTGGAATATAATGCAGTCATATGAGCTATACATTTTTATAGTGTTTTGCATTCTTTTTAAAGCTTTAATAGAACCATTTTAACCTATCCTTATACCTTCTGTATATAAAGTTATATTATTTAATTTATTTAATTGTAGCTTTATTTCAATAAATGAAAACTATTTTTAATATTTTTTGTTTACAATAACAACAGCTTTTTTTAACCCTTAAAAATATCAGAACAATACTCTACAACAATAGTTGTGTGGCATTTATGTCTAAGCAAAAAATGAGTTTCAGTTTTATGATGTTTTTAATTGCAGTTTCTAAGGAGCCAGTCCCTGCCACGGCATCCATAGGTAAGACACTTTTCCTCCTCTGCTGATTATAAATCACACTGTTCAGTTCTACACACATGGATTATGTTAAACCGTTTCTTCTGTGTCTTTTAATGTGAATGTATAATGAAGCTGATGAAATGAATATCCAGAGGTGAATCGCTATTAAGCGTGTAGTTTCATTCAAGCCTGCGTGTGTATGAGTCATAAAGTATGGGTTTAGATGATGAAAGATCATAACATTGACCTTTGAAGTCAAAAGTGGGTGCCCGAGACTTTGGTCCCCATCCGATCAAACTAACTGCAGCTTGTAATTTTGCGGCAGCTGAATGTGGTTTCAGTGAGGAGTCGGCGGCGTCCTCCTCACACTGATGCCTCCGTCCCACGCTGAGCCAGATTACAGGAATGAAAGCCCTCTGTCAGTTCAAACAAAGTCTATGTTTATATCCCAGTGTGTGGAAAGTGATTTGAATCAGATCGTTCGTCGGAATGCTAATTTTCAGATTTGGCAGATCAGTGTGTGACACACACACACACACTCCTGCACACCCTCATGTCTTTTCAAAGGCAGATTGACCATTTCACATCCAATGGTAATAGCTCATAATAAAGACTTTCATTCTGTCTTTACCTTGTTTGTTCATTCTTTCTTCTTTCTCTCCATCCATTTTTTCATTTCATTCTTCCCTCTGTTCTTTCTTTTTGTCTTTGTTTGTTTTTTTATTAATTTGTTCATTTGTCCTTCCTTCCAGTCATTCTTTCTTTTAAATGATTGTTCATCCTCCTGTCTTTTGTTATTTGTTTGTTAGTTCTTTCATTCATTTGTTCAGTTGTTTATTGATTTGTTTTACTTCCTTTCTTTCATTTGGTCTTTCGTTTGTTAGTTCAGTTGTTCTTCCCTCCTCTAAGTTCATTCATTCCTTTAATTTCTTTTTCACTTGTTTTTCTTTCTTTCTTTCTTTCTTTCTTTCTTTCTTCGCTTTCTTGTGTTTCCATTTATCATTATTTCTCATTATTATTTATAATTTCCAATTATTCATCTTCACTGAAAACTTTAAGAAATACTTGCAAAAGATCAAACAGTAATTGGATTTCATCAGTGTCCCAAATTTACAGCAACAACCCGCCGTTAATACAGAAATAACTATTGATTGCAGATGATTTGTACATTCATGTTGCTGTCACTGGCTAGCGTGTTTTGGATGAAAACTTTATCCTAGATAGCTAGAGTGATCTACAGTACTTCAGCTCCACTGCTGACACATTCAAGTTTTTCCTGGTCACGCAAAGCTTCATCCTTTACGCGTTCTTCAGGAGATATTGAAAGCGTTCTTTACAGTCGGCTTTTGAAAAGGGATTTCTGATAGATATCTTGGTGGGCTCAGGGCTTATTCAGTCCAAAAGCTCATTTCAAAGGTTCACTCTAAAAGGTTCAGATGCAGGGGTCTCTAAACACGCACCTCTGATCCAGACAGCTTCTAGGAGTTTGAAAACTCTCGCTTTAAGCTACACTCAGCAGCGAAGACCACGACTCCCCCCATACACATACACACTCAGCGCCAATAAACCACTGAGAGCAAACGTATTTACAGAGGTTATGAAGGTGGAGACGGCTTGCTTAGTGCGAGGAGATGGAGAAAAGAGAAAATGAGCACACAGGCGGTGTATTAAAGGAAGAGAGAGAGAGCAAAATGGGAAAAAAAACGTCAAGCACTAGGGGAGTTGAATTAGGCGTTTATCAACTGAAGCAAGAAAATTTGGACTGTGAGATATTTGTAAACTGGATGTCAAACATGCCGCAGTCATACTTTCACATTCATGCCAACCTGACCCAGGGAAGCCAAGGGATGAACAGAAAAATACTAGTAGAAAATCTGAGATTAAGGGAGTGCAGTAGAAGGTGATGGAGGATAAGAGATGAACTGCAGTGAGAGGGAGTTAATGGAGGATTGGGATGGAAGAAGAAAGGAATGGATCAGAAGAAAAGAATACAAGTTAGGGTGCTTTCACACTTGGTTCCATTGCCTGATCCGAACCGGAGTTCGATTGCTCCCCCTCCTCCTGCCCCCTGAACTGTTTTTATGGTTCCGAACCATGGTACGTTTGCGTCATCAGAGTGGCAGCTGTTTACCCCGTTACTAATGACTATGCAGAAGACAATGAATGGATGTTTGCTCACTTAATTTTTGTACTTGGTATTTTGAAAATTCTTATTAATTTCCAAAGCGCCAACATAGAATGGCACATGCATCTATTTGTCACGAATTTAGGGTTCAAAAAACACAGGAGTCACTTTTTTGCGAGCAGAAATGTGATTTAAATTCTCTCTGCTGCAGTGTGTCAGTCACACTTAACAGGAAAGCGAGTGAGTAAATGCATAAATACACTGTTTGAGCAATTCATACGTCATTAATAATAGCGGCTCACTTCCGTGATTTAGTACGATTGCGTTCACATCAGAAGCGAACCGTACCGGACTTCGCATGAACCGTACCCCAGACCACCCTTTTGAGCCAGACTCGGGTACGCTTTGCTGGTGTGCACCCGAGTTCAGAAAGCAGCATTCACATTATCCAAACGAACCTAACGCTGACGTCAAATGAACCTGGGTGCACACCAAAAGTGCTAGTGTGAAAGCCCACTCCGAGTGGGACTCTGGGATGTCAGAATAGAACTACAGTAGATGTGCTAAAGCAAATAATTAAGCACTTGAGAGCCAAAGTAGTGTTGAAATTGTTGGTAAATGTAGGTTTTAGGCTTTGATTTTCTATAAATATTATATATTGTCTATAGTGTACCATTCAAAACTTTGGAGTAGGTAGTTTTTTTTTTAAAAGATGTATCTTTTGCTCCACAAGGTTGTATTTATTTGATCTAAAATACAGTAAAATTTTGTGAAAAATTATTACAATTTAAAATAACTGTTTTCTATTTAATTATATTTTTAAATGTAATTTATTCTTGTATTGCAAAGCTGAATTTTCAGTATCACGTGATCCTTCAGAAATCATTCTAATATGCTGATTTGCTGCTCAAGAAACATTCCTGATTATCAATGTTGAAAACAGTTGTGTTGCTTTTTTTTTTTTTTTGGATTATGTAAAGAATGGAAAGTTCCAAAGAACAGCATTTATTTGAAATCAATTTTTTTTGTAAGATTATAAAAGTCCTGAACCACAAATCAAAATATACAAATTAGAATGCTGTAATTGTTGCTGAATTTTTTCAAATTTTGATGTCAACATGAAATGAACATTGAAATCAAAATTGACTTTCTCTTAGTTTTATTGTGCACAATTCACCAGTGCATGTCGTTCCACATAAAATGTTTTTATTAAAGCATAATGCTTTTCTTATAACTTTCGCTGGTGATTTTATTGGGTAAACTCATATCTTGGCCTGCTTTTTCAATGTGTCATGGCAGTAAGACGGATTTCAAATACCATTTCATGTCAACTTTAATGTTAAATTGCTTTAAAAGTAAAAAAGTTTATTAGAAAAAAGAATGGATAATACACCTAAGATTTAAATTATCTATAAAACAAAGGTTGAATGGATTCTAGAGTCTCACAAGCACTGTAATAAGGACTGATTGTGTAAAGAAGAATTGAAAAGGTGAAATCGAGTGGAGGGTAAAGATAGTGAGATGGAGAGAAGATAGCAAGAAATAAAGGCACCTGTACAGATAAAAGAATGAGGCATTAAATGAGGAAGAAGACCTTTTCATTCTGTTTTATAGACCCCGTCTCTCGCTCCGAGTGAGGGCGGTCATATTTCTGTTCTGGAGATGCTCCCTGCCGAAACGATGTCGCTGAGATTACGGGGTCGAGAAAGACTGGCGGCCCCTAATCATTTATAAACCTGCCTATTATGTGGGGCTTCCAGTTCATTTACAGGCTATCAATCATGTTGCGGGATGAAAGCCTTGGTAATCGCATACAGGAACTGTGAGGGAGGACTCGTGCCGACTGTTTCTTAAAATAATTTCTCCTGTAATCCACGCAGAGATGATCATCAGTGCATCTGATGAGTAGTCCAAGTTTTGCACCTGGGAGAGAGAACATTGTGTTAGAAAGAGAGGATAATGGTAGAGAAAATAGGGTACATGCAGTGTTTTAGAGCAAGATAAAGAGTGAAAGATTTAGATGTTGTAGAGGAGTGTAGATATCTGTAGGATTGATGGAAATGAAAAAACAGAATGGAGGAACAGAGATAGGAACGGAGAGAGAGAGAGAGAGAGAAAGAGAGAGAAGGGTTCTGTGTCATGGAGAAACGATAGTTTTAGAGGCTGGGAATGGATAACCCACTAAGGGACGTCTGTGATTCTGCTGGTTAGCTGAAAGACGCCTGGCGACTCCAGCTTAACTCTGATAATGGCATTCAGTGTAATGATATTACTCAAAGGTTGCTCTTTCATAGTTTAGGAGCCTTACAGGAGTGAAAAATAGACACAAATGAGATTGTTGATATATAGTAATAGTATAGTAATAGTAATAGTACAGTAAGTGTCACATTGCTGTAGGCTGCTGTGGGTGTTGCTGTGTGGTTGCTGGTTACTGTTTAAGTAATCTATGATTTGGCTCTGTAATATATGATATTTTTTCCCATTTTTATGTCCTACAGGCAAAAATCATGAGCCTAATCATTAAAAAAATACATTTAATACACAGTTTAATTAAAGAAAAAAGTCATACATACATAAGTTTATATACATCAGTTTGAAAATACAGTAAAAAAAAAGAGTGAAATATTACTACAATTTAAAACTATTTTAATATATTTTCAAATGCATTTTATTCCTGTGATGCAAAGCTGAATTATCAGCTGCCATTACTCCAACATTTCTTGTTATCAGTGTTGAAAACATTTGCTGTTTCATTTTAATTTAATTACATTTTTTGTGGAAACCATGATAGAAAGTTTAAAAGAATAGCATTTATTTGAAATAGAAATCTTTTGTAACATTATAAATGCTTCACTATCGTTTTTGATCACTTGAACGCATCCTTGCTGAATAAAAG